ATTAATGTATAAAATAATAATTTCATTTATCGAAAAAATTGCAATTATTATTATTATTTTTTATTTCAAAACTCGTTCCACTATTTTAAGTTAACAGTCGTCTTAACTTGAGTTAACTTGTCCTTTTCAGAATGACATTTTTATTATTTACAAACCTCGATTTCATTTTTCTAAAAAATCGAAAAGTGAATAATTTATACACCAAATTAATATTAATGTAAAAAACATCTCGTAAACGCACATTAATGATAAAAAAAATGCTAATATATTAAGTAATTATGTAAAAAAATACATATATAAATGTCTATGCGATACCAGAATCATACATACCCACACATCTAAGCATAAAATATACACTAGAAAGCGACGGAATGGAGAAAGTATGCTCGAAATATTGCAGAAAATTAGAAACTAGATACTTCAAGGCCCGCCATGCAGCTAAATTCTAGACTACAGTTGGTCTAGGTAAGTCGCCTATTATATAGACAAATTTCAATATTTAACATAAACTAGTGAAATCTCCAAGTTGATTTTGTTGACGCAATTTATATTACGGGACTTAATCCGCGATTTTCAAAAAGTTACAATTTTTTCAATATATCGAATGCAAATTTATATATTTGAGAATTATTCCCAAAAATCTGAAAATCTTCCAACAAATATTTTCGTAGATAAGAGCATACTTTTTAGCTGAGAATTTTTCATCTTTGTGTAATCGGCATTTTGGATTTGGGATAATATTAAGCATAAAATTCTACACACTGTCAGACACCTCTTTACAGTGTTACTCCTAAGACCGAATCACCATAATTCCAAAATTTTTTTAAATAAATCACCAGTTATCATGATATCGCACCGAGTTCTTTAGACGGCTTATTTGGAAACTACTAAAATCCCTTCACATGTCCTTTGTGGGCAAAAAATAGTAAGACTTTATGATTAAAATTTCGAGCGAAACTCCATTCGATTTTTACTTTGAATGAAATTATTGTAATTCGAAATAAAATTCCTGCTCTCGAAATGTTCAGAATGTTGAAAAAGGTCTTCGCTCATAATTGTTGGTCGCTAAAAAGTGTTTCTGATTGGTACAAATTATTTAAAGAGGGTCGAAACGCGTTGACAGCGAACAAATAAAATAAAAGGTGTGTTCAAAAAGTATCGCGAATTTTGATTTTTCGAGGGTTACGTATATTCGAATTTCGAATTTTCGGTGGCGTTATGTTGGTACTCATGTCTCTCACTTATGCCGACAAGCTCGGCCATTTTGAATGTTCATTTAATTGTTGACAGCTGCTTTGCTTGCACGTGTTTTGGATCGTCTTCGAGTTTTACCTATTCAAAAAAATGGATCAAAGTACCTGTATCAGATTTTGTCTGAAAAACGAAATTAAGTGCACGGAGGCATTCCGGCATCGGAGAAGCTACCTTGGACCGAAGCAACGTTTATCGGTGGTACAAAATGTTCTCAGAAGGCCGAGAAGATGTGACAAAAATTGGCTTTTGCACCACGATAACGCCCCTGCTCACACATCGTTGCTCGTGCGCTACTTTTTGGCCAAAAACAACACACTAATGATGCCGCAGCCACCGTATTCCCCAGATCTGTCCTCCTGTGACTTTTTCTTGTTCCCTAAACTGAATAGGCCCAAGAAAGGACAACGTTACGCTTTTCTTGACGAGATAAGGACGGCATCGAAGGACTTGAAGAAGATAAAAAAATGGTTTTTTGAAGTGCTTCGAAGATTGGAAAAACCGTTGGCATAAGTGTATAATATCTCATGGGGATTACTTTGAAGGTGACAAAATAGATATTCATGAATAAATAAATAATTTGAACACACCTCGTAAAGGGATTGGTGTTTGAGAATCGACGATTAACAGTAAGAGATTTTATTGCCATGATTGGATTATCGGAAGGATCAGTAAAAACCATTTTGAAATGTCTTTTGGACTTAAGTTAAGTTAAAATACGATTGGTCCCAAAATTACTAAATTTTTTCGGAAAACAACGTTGCGTTAGCGTCTGTGAAACAATGCTTTCCGACTACCAAAATATCATTAAGCTTATTATACTTAGTTTATACCACTGTAATGCACTGTCGCATACTGCATTGATACTTTGCGAGTTTTTCGCCAAATTTTCAACCAATATTGTGCCGTAACCTGTCGTAATCTTCCGTGTTACCTCTCTAGGGAAACCGTTTTGAGTCACTTGAGGACATTAATTTGGATTGAAAACAACACGTTGGCGCAAGTATATTGGGTTTAAGGGGACTACGTTGAGGAAGACGACATAGATGTTTGAAGAATAAATTGAGAAATTATAAACAAAGTCTTACTTTTTTTTTCTCATAATAGTATGACCAACTTCCGATTCATTGCCGAGAAACCCTTGAACCATAATAGCAATTATTGTCCATATAAAGTCTTGCATTCGCCTAGAAGATTGTCAATAATATTTTCTTCTTCTATCTCTTGCCATCTTCTGCAATAGGCATTGTGTGGTATCTCCTGCGCACCAGCCTATCGGTCCTTATGTCATTTCTTTCCAGTAATAATAGTCGGCATGTGGGGCCAATATTCCATTGATACCACGTTTGACTGCTTGATGAGAAAATTAGGAGTTCACTTCATAGCGACTTAACTATATCTAAAACGTATTTGTCGATTAAATATTCAAGAATTATAAAGAAGCATATACATATACCCCCCCCCCCCCCCATTCTCAGAGTCTACATTTAGGGTGGTGCCTATTCTGGGTAGTTAAACTGCTTCTCAGTTGCCAAGGATATTACTTATATCACATTTGTATAATTTGAATAAGGTGGCAGTATATGTAATAAGGAATTCCAACGTCTCTTAAAAATCATTGTTGAAAAAGTACTTAACCACACCGCCAACATAATGACTTGGAGATTTCATACCAAATTAAAACTAAAAAATATTCCCTTATATCCATATGTCAAATAAGCAATTCATTTTTCAGAAGCAAGACAGCAAAATTTTGGAGAAGAGCGCTGACGCATTCACATAATACATATTCGTGTATTTTTGTAAGAGAAAACATGGAAAATCATATCAAAAGCACCAAGGATAACAAAAAAATTAAAGGACATACAACAATAAAATCATTCATATTAATCATATAAGTAAGGCGTAGCAAGTTTTAAGTGAAACAGTAGGATTCATATAATAATTAAACATAAAATCCCACAAGATATCACTTCAAAATATAAACGAGTATATACAAAAAACAAAATTAATGCAATAAGTAAATAAACAAAAATACAAACATTTAATGGCAGCTATTTTACATTTTTTCATACAATAATATACTCATACTACTTACAAAAACACTTTGCGATCAAAAAAGTTGGAAAATTTGTAAGAGAAAATGTCAAAAGTTGACTTAAAGCAAACGAGCAAGCAATGTTATTTAAAATATATAATATGTGTATGTATATATAATAGGCAAGTAATTACAAATTTGTAGGTACATAAATATCAGGAAGACATGCAAATACTCAGCATTAACCATTGTAAATATTTACTGTAAAATAATCCTTTCTCTCTGCAAGAGAAATAATTTCGAAAAGGCGAGTAATTGGGTAATATTCAAGTTAGGTGTGCAGTTCGAGCAATTAGTTGCTTGGAAAATGTAAATAAATTATTTCC